TAGCCCCCCCCCCCGCCCCTAGGCGGCTGCCCGCGCTCAAGCTTCAAATCCCATTTCCTTCCCCACGAGAACGACACACAAAATGATTTCTTGCCGACAACGAAGGCACGTTCTGGTTGTTCTGGCGCTATTTTCGCGTTAGTAGATGCTGCCGTGTTGACGGAACTGCGGTGTTGCTGTTATGCTGTTGTTGTTGTTGCTGTTATATTGTTTTTTAGGGCGCCCAACGGCGAGTGACGCATCGTCATCGTCGTCGTCGTCGTCCGCGGCGTCGGCGGCGGCGGCGGCGGCGGCGGTTGTTTCGATGGGGGTGGCTTCGGACGGAAACCCGTTCGGTGTGCCGGGGGGTCTCTTCTGCTCCTTCCCGGTGCTGTGCAGGGGCGACGGGGAGTGGTCGTTCGCGGAGGAGTTCCTGCTAAAGGAGGAAGCGGGGCACCAGCTTAGCTTGTCGGTGAAGGTGCGTGCTGTCTGTTGTGCCACCTAGTGACCGCGAGCGAAAGTGAGGGCAGCACGCGAGCGCCGCAGGCAGGCAGGCAGGCAGGCAGGCAGGCAGGTATTCATAGGTGCGGGCGACCTTTGTCGTGAACGTGGTCGATGAAGGGGATGAGGCAGCGTGAGGCGCGTGCGGCCAGGCCTCGTTGGTGTTGAAAGAGTAGCCTTTAGACAGACCAAGAAGAACACAGTAAATCAGCACGCCGACAAGCGTTCACCTGCCGGTAGACTTCAACGAAATACGTCCCTTGAGGTTGGTTGGTCTTTTCGCGGGTGGGTGCATACCGCGAGAGAGAGCAAGACTACATGTAGTATGTCCCTATGTTGTATGTATGTTGAATGAGCATGGGCGACGAAAAATGTGTTACTTTGTTTGTGTTCAAAGACAGACAGAGATAATTTTTGTTGTTCCACACGGTGATATCATGTGGCCACCACGTAGTTAGATTGTTGCACAGTGAGGTAGGTAGGTGTTGTACAACCAATCAATCAATGTGTTCTTGTTGAATGTGTCTTCACATCACCATCACCATCATTACGTGTGAACCGCAGGTAGGTGTGTATGTATGTATATTTGATGTATGTATGTATGTGTGTATGTATGTATGTATGTATGTATGTATGTAGTACAGCATTTACGGAGTATTGTTAAGACTATGTATGTATGTGTGTTTACGAGACGCGAAGCCCTCGCTACCTCGCCAATCCACTTGTATCCTTCACGCTATTCATCCTAAACAAGCTCACGAACCGGCGCATCGTCACATGGAGCGCGCTGACCACCGTGGTAGGCGTGTAGACAATTGTACCGTATTGTAGGCGCGCGGCGAGCGCGAAAAAACACAGCAGTGACACGCGGAGGGTTTGGGCTGTGTTTCGCGATTCCTCCCCCTCCGGCGGAGGAGGAGGGAAGGGTACCGAATAGCTTGTGGGGAGCTGGCTGCCTGTGGGAAATAACTTGCCGAGAGGCTCATTTTGAGGCGCATCGCTCGACTTCATCATGACCCCCGCTCGTTTGATTCGGTGTACCGTAGTCGAGTCGTTCCGTACCACATTGTTGTAATGGAGTTTAATGGTTTGGCGTACCCCTTGACCGTGTCATGGGTGTTGATAGGCACAACACGAAGCCTACGGGGTGAACATGGCCAAGGCCAGCCTTTGTTGAGCCCCTCCCCCGCCCAACCAATCCCAAGTAAGCATTAATTGGTGGGGGCAGGGAGACGCTACACTACCTCTTACCCTTGGACCGTCCTCTCGTGGGTCGAACATGACCAGGGGCAAACATTAAGATTACATCGCCAATCACCCGCCGTGGATCCCCCCCCGCCCCCGGTGTTTGCCATCGGGATTGGGTTTTCGTCGCTTGGCAACGACGTTGTAAAACAAGCCGATTCACTTCGTGAACTCGGCAACCAGGTTACCGTTTTTTTTTTTACCTCCGTTTTTTTTTGGCGGTAACCGTAATNAAACAAGCCAATTCACTTCGTGAACTCGGCAACCAGGTTACCGTTTTTTTTTTCACCTCTGTTTTTTTTTGGCGGTAACCGTAATGGTGGTCGATTGGATCATGTTGTGCGGAATGGAGAACTCTCACTCCGCGCAAGGGGGATGATCGAACCACGTTGTGTTAAAATGGTATAGCATCCTCGAGGCAGTTACACAAGAGTGCTTACAACTGTCTCAGGAAGTGAAGCACCAGAAAATATATTAGGTCATACGCAGCTGTCATCCGTACGCAAGGAAGTAAGCACGAGATGCCGAACACCCTTAGCAGGATGCAGCGCACCCTTCATGCGACTCGCCGAATACCTCACGGCGCTTCGCGCTTGGTGATGTGAGAGCGTGGTCCGGTGAGAACCCGGCGTGCTCCGTCCCGGCTTTGTAGGGATGCGCGGTCAATGGTCTGACGACTAGGGCATGCACGACTATGAGTACACCCTCCCCCCCCCCGCCCATTCGCAGGAGTTGCAAGAAGAGAGGAGCATGGTTGTGGAGGCACTGGGAGAGGACGGGCCGTCACCTGGCTCTTCTATTTCCCCTTCTCGTGGCGGTGCGGCGACCAAAGGCTGCTCCAACGGAGGAACTCCCATCTCCAGCCTCTGAGGACCAAGGCACCCCAAAAAGCCCCCCGGCGCAGGCATTTCAGTCAGCTTCAGCTGGAAGAGCAAGGGCATCGGCGGCAGCCTGCTTGATCTCTTTTGCAGCGCGCGTGTTCATGGTCGACCGACTGACTCTGCCGACCAACGCCTGCTCTTCTCGCATGGGAAGGGCTCCGAATTTTTATTATTTTTCGATCAGGGACACTTGACGGCGTCTGGGATGTATATTCACTTCCCCCTGAAAACACTCTGGAGTCGCCGTCTCCCCCCCCCGCGTCATTTTGTTTCGTCTGACGCGTGAGGCGCGATCCCGTCGGGGGGGGGGAAGCGGTGGTGCATGGCCGTTTCACAGCTGGAAGTCGTGGAGCCAACATGGGATCTCTGCGGGCGGGGGGTTTACACGCGGTTAGAGGGTCGCCTTCTCCGTCATCACATGTAGTGATGGTCGAAGGAGAACAGGGGTGGGGTGTGCGTGTGTGTGGGGGGGGGTAGGTGTGTCGACAAACGAACCCGTTTGCGTGCCCTGCTTGATGCATGTACATGAGACACTCGGTGTGGTGTGGTGGAGAGGAATAGCGGGATGGCAGCCGTACCACTTAAACCGAGCAGTTCTCGCATAGTTGAGGGGTTCTCACAAGCAGCGGCAGCAGCAGCAGCTTGGGTCGCCGTATGATTCGTTCGGCGTCCGTGCAGCCGAGTTGGTGGGGCCTGGCCTTTGAACACCGCCCTCTTCCTCCTATTTAGGCGGTGGGTCAGTCTTAACACTGCAGAGCACTTTGGTCGTGTACCACAACAATTTTTTCCCACAGGTATGCGTTCCCAACCACAACCCCTTTCACGTATACAGGAGATATGTAGTGCGCCCCGGTTCCAGGGGGCCTTTTCGACCGTAGCATTCGCGTGCGGCTGACGGCAGACGGTGGGGCGGGGCGGGGGCGGGGGG